GGGCGGGCTGGCCTCCCACCGTGATGGTGGAGGGAAAGACGGGCGGGCTGGCCTCCTACCGTGATGGTGGAAGAAGTCAGGGGGCTGTCAGCGAGGTGCTTTCTGAATGGAGCCTGACTTCTGCATCAGGGTTTTGTCAGTGGAATTTGAACCCTATCTTTTCAGTCTGATTTCCCACCTTAGCCTGGCCTTTGGCAACAGACAGGCCTGGGTTGGAACCAGTTGTTACCTCCTGGCTCACTGGCCCAGGGCAGTCCCTCTGAGGCCAGCTGCCCCACCTAAGAAAGGAAGCACCTTCTTCCGCATGTTCGGTGTGAGCCAAGGAGACCCCAGGGCTTGCCAAGGGCCAGCACCCTTCCCACGAGCAGAGGCGCCCGTGACTCCCCGCCGCCCTTCCCGTCTCTGTCTGTGCAGGCCTACTTTGAAAATGACTGCTGGGTCAGGTATTTCCTGCACACCGGCCACCTGACGATCGCAGGCTGCAAAATGTCAAAATCGCTCAAAAACTTCATCACCATCAAAGACGCTTTGAAGAAGCATTCAGGTAAACGTGGACCCCTCCTCAAGACCTAGACGTTTCTTGTCTTGGGTGGGCGGTGACAGTGGCTGCTTGGGAGATAAGGGACCACCCTGCTGTTCTCTCTCCCAGCCCGGCAGCTGCGGCTGGCCTTCCTGATGCACTCTTGGAAGGACACGCTGGATTATTCGAGCAATACCATGGAGTCGGCGCTTCAGTATGAGAAGTTCATGAACGTAAGTCCCCACCTCCTCCCCAGAGGTGGGTGGAGGGGCCACCACCAGCCCCGTGGGCACCTCTGGTCAACTGGGCTGGGATGCGTTACCCGCTCACCATTTCTTCTGATAGAGAACAGGATCAGGCGAAAGCAACCAAATGCTGGCGGGGAAACCAGCCCAGAGCCACCTTCTGAAACATCTGATAGCTCACTAGAGTTAAGGAGCCCGCATTCGTCTTGTCTGCCTGTGCACTTTTCATTCAGACTGGTACTGTCTGCTGAACCAGCGTCTAAGGCTAGAATCGGACCACACTTCTGCCTCAAAGAAACACCTTTCACTTCCTTGCTCGGCACTTGTGTGATATCAGTGCATCGTGGTTTTTCAGATTCCCCTGGAAGGAAAAGCACATCACTCCTTTGCAGATATTTCCAAGATGGAAAAGTTGTCTCAATGCTATTAAACTGAATTTTCTAATTTTAGGAGTTTTTCTTAAATGTGAAAGATGTCCTTCGAGCCACTGTTGATATAACCGGTCGGTTTGAAAAGTGGGAAGATGAAGAAGCAGAACTGAATAAGAGGTGAGATGGAGCCTTTTCTCTGGGGTTTGCAAGTGTGCCCGCATTCTGTGCTCACACCCACCAATGAGGAGGCCGGTGGCACCGTCACACCTGTTTGTGCAAAACCACACTCAGAAGGTGCTGGCTGTTGGGCTGTGCAGAGTTCTGCCCTGTGTTAAGGTCTGACATTCTTGTTCCTTCCTCTTCTTGCTCAGCTTTTACGACAAGAAGACGGCGGTTCACGAAGCCCTCTGTGATAACGTCGACACGCGCACTGTTTTGGAAGAAATGCGGGCTCTGGTCAGCCAGTGCAACCTCTACATGGCATCCCGGAAGGCTGTGCGGAGGAGGCCCAACCGGGCCCTGCTGGAGAGCATCGCCGTGTACGTCACCCACATGCTGAAGGTGAGCCAGGTCCCCAGACCCGCACGGTCCCCGTGGCCCCTGCTGTGCTGTCTGCACACAGGCGGCGGGCCCTGTGACAGTGAAGGCAGGTCCTCCAGGCAGCACAGTGCTGAACGGGTTAGGGGAGCTTAGATGGAATCTGAGAGGCGCTTCTGTCCCCCTCAGCCCCCACGTGCCCGTGCGTTAGAGCTCAAAAGCCTGCCGCTGTCCTGGCTCTGGGTGATTTCCCCTCCCTGCCTCAGTTTTTTCCCCTCCCATCTTGAGGTTTGAAAGCAGAGCAAGTGGCCTTAACCCGGAACTCACCTTGTGCAGCGTCGTTCTGTGTGCACACCTGCGGGCTGACAAGTTCTGGGGTCTCTGCAGGTGGGCAGGACCTGCCCGCCTCGCCCTTCTGGTCCCCTGTCCTCCAGTGGCCGCGGGCTAGGAAGGGGCCACAGAGGGCGGGTGGAGCTGGGACTTGTCCTGAAGCAGATGGGGCCGGCCTGGGTTTCCGGGGCTCTTGGAGCTGCTCTTTCCACCTCTTTCCCACCCAGCATGGCTGTCCACGCTGCCGCCCCACCCCTCCCATGCACAGCAGTGTGTTTCGTGGACCCGGTCACCGTGTGTCGTCTCTCAGGACCTCTTTATTTCTTTTCCTAGATCTTTGGGGCCATAGAAGAGAACAGCTCTCTGGGTTTCCCAGTTGGAGGATCTGAAACCAGCATAAACGTGAGTAGAGTGTACCTGGACCCAGAGAATCCCCCTGCTGTGTTGTCCGGCCCCTGGGAAACTGTGCCCACTGCGAGCGGCACCCTCCTGCCTTCCACACCTGCTGCCGCCCTGCTCCTTGTGCCCCACCTGGGTCAACCCTGTGGGCATTTGGGGACCAGCATTAGATCCCACCTGCACTGGACCTTCCAGACGGAGCCCCGTGTCACGTCTCCACGCGACTGGGGGAACCGAGCATAGTCGGCTGGCTCTCTCGAGTGTGGAAGGTCAGGCTTCCTTGTGACCGCTAGCTGGGGAGCACTCCTGCTGCTGTGCTGTCTGTCTGAGCTGTCCCAGAGACCAGACTAGACAGGACGATCCTTAGCCCTTCATGAGCCACAGTCACGTGGCATCAGGGAGTGTCATGTGCTCATTTCCCTGCACGTGTGCACCTGTGCTCAGATAGCATGTCGAACCATCCATCGCTGCACGTGAGAGAATTCCTCAGCCATGGGGGCCACTTGGTTGGAGTTGGCGTGCCGGCAGACCCACGCGGTTTCTGCTGCATGACCCTGTCACGAATGACAGGCGCACATTCAGTTCATCTCAATAGTGCTTCCACCCTCCCCCCCGCTCAGGAATGCTCTTTATTTCATTAAAATGCACATGTAAATATTCAAATATAATAACTTGTTTAAATAAAAACAGGAGTCAAGTACAAAGTAAAAAGGTAAAACCTTTGTAAGTGCTGTTTCCTGATGCTGGGCAGTGTGGAGAGCCCTGTCGTGCAGATGGAGTTGACAGATGTCTCCCCCAGGAACTGACTTCCAAAGAGAAAACAGTTCTGTGGTGTAGGAAGTCCTCCAGAGCTCCACGCCCACATCCTGGTGGCTTTTGTTAGCCTTCGAACTAGTTGTTACTGTGGTATTTTCTGGACTTTGCCGTATATGAACCTTCTTTTTAGAAAGAAAGCCCACACAGCTGCTTTGTTCTCTTGTGCAAGTGATACTGGATGTTTATTTTCTTAAAAAAAAAAAAACCACATCCTAGGTTGAAGACAGTCTGCCATTGAACTTAGGGAAAAAAAAGCTTTGAATGTGACATGCCACTGTGGGTGTGTGGGGCCGTCGGACATCCCCCAGTGACCTCGGTGGGCCCTTTGAAGTCAGCTTGTTGGAATAAGCAGCCACAGGGAAATGCAGGAGGTGAGCCTGCGGGCCAAAGGACGCGACCTGCCTCCATGCCCTTGGAAGGCCATGCGTTTACCTCCAAACCCGAACTATTTTAGGAGCCGGGGACAAAGCTCCCAGGTCCCACCTCAGTGTTGAAGGGTCTACAGTGTGCACAGTGGTCGGCTGGACCACTGGAGCGCTGGCCCGAGGGCCTTCTCTAGACAGAGCCCTCAGGCACACTGGCCGAGGCCAGCCGGCAGCAGATGCAAGCCCCTGTCCGAGGCCTCCTCCCTGCCGCCACCCACTCCAGCTATCTGGGTGCGTGGGGTAGATAAAGACCTTGAAGCCCCAGAAGTCCACTCGCCCCCGGCAAGGATGTCACCTCAGCCCAGGTGCAGGATTGGGCCTAAAGAGGTTTAGGTCATACGGGCCCGTCAGCCTAGCCAGCTTTTGCATTTAACTGTTATTACTTTGGTTATTGAGCTGCCGAGTGACTTCATTAAGAGGCAGAGAGAAACTTTGCTCAAAAGCCTACTGGAAAAATATGAACGATGTGACAAAAAAGATTTTTCATAAAGTCACTCTTCCAGTTTGGATTTTGTCCTCTTCAGTTTTCCTTTCCCAGCGGGCTGTGCGTTCTGGGGCCTCCGTGTTCCTGCAGGTAGTTACGTAGAGTAGATGTGGATGTGCGTGTGCACAGTAGACAGTTCGTGGAGAGAGCTCATCTTAAACAAGTGGGTGTGGCCACAGGTTGGACCCAGCTCTGTGGTGCCAGCCTCAGTGTAGATGAGGCCCCAGCCCAGGAGGAACAGCATCAGGCCTCTCGGAAAATAGCGCCTCCTAGGACGGCCCTTGTGTAACCGTAAAGAAGGGTTTTTAAGAACTATGTGTCTGACCTGTGACAAAGCACATCATGTCGGCAATTGAACAGGGCGGCTTACGGAACTCATCGCACGGGAAGAGGAAAGGAAGCTTTCTTACTCTCTCGGGCCCGCCTCGCCTGCACTGGGCCCCTGAGTCCCTGTGACCCCACAGCTGGTGTGGACCGGGTATTAGGGATGAGCATGTCCGAACTCTGGGAGCCCGGTCACAGCATGGCGTCCACTAGCAGCACTTCCCACAGCAGTCCCTGTCCTGCAGCCTGCGTGTGACCTCCGTTCAATTATAAATACAGGGGTGAGCTTACCTCTCAGTGAACAGAACCCTTCTGTCCACAGCTCGAGTCTGCAGTCACGCCGTACCTTAAGGTGCTGTCGGATTTCAGAGAAGGAGTGCGCAGGATCGCCCGGGAGAGAAAAGGTGAGGCCCTGTCGGCAGGGTGCGCGGGAATGACTCTTCCTTGAGGGGCTCCCGTGGCCTGAGTGTCTCGTGCTCAGCACTGTGGACGCTCGGGGCCGGTCCTTCTCTGTCGCTGGGCTGTCCTGGGCTGTAGGATGTTTAGCAGCATCCTCAGCCCCCACTCACTAGATCCGGGAAGCACCACACCCACGAAGTCGTGACAGCCACACCAGTCTCTAGACGTTGCCCGGTGTCCTCTGCAGGGCAGGACAACTGCGTGGGGACTGAGGATACGTGTGAGAGGCCAGTCGTCTCTGCCTCTTCCTGTATGATTGGGAAGTCAGAAGGAGGGCCCTCGGAGCCGCCGGGGAGTGTCCTGCCCTTTTGTTTGTGTGGGGCTCGTTCCTCCTCTCTCGGGGTCTGCGGGTCTGCGGGTCTGCAGCAGTGTGCCTTGCTCCTGCTTTGCGGAGCGAGCCGCAGTGATCGGAGAGCCTTCTGCTGGGGACCCAGAGCTCCTGGAAGTGTTGTGCTTGGGGGTGTGGTGGGGTGAGCGCCTTGAATTTGGGGGTCCCACCCAGTCACGCCTCACTGTCTGTACTCAGCCGGTCCTTCATCCGCCGGCGTTCCTGAGGTGTGCTCACACTCTAGCACGTTCTTGAAGACTTGGAGAATGCTGGATCTGAACATTCCATCTTTTAGGCCACCGTTGAACGGTTGTTACTCAGAGCGGCCAGCAGCATCAGGCAGGGGGTCCGCTTCTTACTCTGCGCTGTCTGCACTGGTGAGTGACAGCTACGACTACTGGCATCTGTCGAACTTAGAATGCGCCAGGCCCTAGTTCAGCTGCTTTCCTCACATTGCCTCATTTAATCCTTATGATCTTACAGAAGTGGAAAGCAAAGCCCCGAGAAGTTAGAGGCCTTGTCCAGGGTCACACTGGGGTCTGCGGCACACTCCCAGTGGTCTGACCCCAAATGCCACCCATCACTGGCTATGCTGTGCTCCCTCCCCAGGCCTCTCTGTGCTGAGAAGCCGCACCTGGAGTTCATCTGGCTGCCATCTCTGCCAAGTGGCTCATGGCTGGCCGGCCGCTGGTGGGGCTGTGTCCAGGTGGGGCGCCCGGAGGGTGGAGCAGGCAGCGGGCTCAACGGGGCGGTCAGGGAGCCTCTGGAGGGAGCCGCACCTTGAAGAGGAATGAGCAGGCCTGGGCCAGGTGAAGGGGTGGGAGCGGGTCTGGGCCTGTTCCAGGGAGAGCAGAGCAAGAGGCAAGAGGGCAGGAACGCCTCCCCTCCGCCCCCCCCAGGGTGTGAGGAGCCCCCAGGGTGTGAGGTGTGTGCTGAGGTCGTGGGCCGGGCTGGGAGGCCTCATGTGCCCGCCGAGAGGAGCTGGACCTGGTGGTGCAGTTCGGGGGAGCTGGGGGTTTTCGGCCTGGGCGGTGGGGTTTGGACTCCTTCAACACGCGCAGCCCGATCTCTTTATCAGCTGACCCGCCCACCGTTTTAAAGCACTTGAACCAAACTGGAAAAATCCTGGATCGACTGTTGAGGACCTGGACTGAGTTCTCTGGCAACTCTGACTTTTCGACATTGCTGGGGTCGCAGGCTTGGGGATGGCCATTCTCGAGGGCAGCCTGGGCGTTTCTGCCTGCCTGTCCTTCTGGCTGCACGGCTTCCTTCACGGCGGGCGCTGGGTAGACGGGGGACAGCAGAGGCCATGCTCGGCGTTGCTGACTGTGCCGGGCGCCTTTCCTGGGCCCTGAGAGCAGTACCAGTCGGCTGGCTTGGGGGGCAGTCAGTTTTGCTTTTCATTTACTTGCTTTTTCTTTTTGCCTTGAGTTTTTTGTTGCTCAGGCAAATGGACAAAGAGCCACGTGGGCCCACGTTGGGAGGGTGGTGATTATGTCCACCCTGTGCAAGCTTCGCCCACGTCCAGCACTGTCCCACCCTAGGGCTCAGGTGGACAGGGAGGTCATTTTACCTGAGCCACAGACCTTGGGCTTTTCAGACGGGAAACCTTCTGGGCGGAAGACGGCGTATCACGCCCCCCTGCCCCGTCTCGCTCCAGCCCCGGCAGCAGCAGCAGGGACTGCCTTCTTGTTGGTCATTCTCTGTTAGCACCGCCTGGCTGTTGCCTGGCTGTACTGCGGCCGTGGACTGGCCGAGGAGACAGGAAGACCACGTGAAAAGCTCTGGCGGGCCTCGGTTCATTCATTCCGTCGAGTTTGCCGGGCACCAGCCCTCTGCCCCAGCCGGACCAGGTGCTGAACAGACAGATGCGTAAGAGAGACCTCCCCCTTCAACGCCCACAGCCCAGTGGGCCGGAGAGCTCCGGCATGGCCAGGAGGGACGTGAGATATGGGTGTTTGACCAGGAGAGGCTTGGGAAATTGGGAAGAAGTTAGAAGGGCAGGATCTGCACATGGTCTGAACGGGGAAGCAGGGGCGGGGCCGGAGCCCCTCTGCTGCCGGCGAGATGGTAGCCATTTCCCCATTGCCTTTTGGGTTTGTTTTCTTTTTTAGTAATTTTTATTTATTTATTTTTTCCCCCAAAGCCCCAGTAGAGAGTTGTATATCATAGCTGCACAGCCTTCTAGTTGCTGTATGTGGGACGCGGCCTTAGCATGGCCGGAGAAGCAGTGCGTCGGTGCACGCCTGGGATCCGAACCCGGGCCGCCAGCAGTGGAGCACGTGCAGTTAACCGCTGAGCCACGGGGCCTGCCCGCCTTTTGGGTTTTTTAATCTCTGTAAAATACACATAGTATAAAATTGAGCATCTTAACCATTTTTTTTTTTTTTGGTGAGGAAGAATGTCCCTGAGCTAATATCTGTTGCCAGTCTCCCTCTATTTTTGCGTGTGGGACGCCACCACAGCATGGCATGTAGGTCTGCACCCAGGATCTGAACCCAGGAAGCCTGGGCTGCCAAAGCAGAGCACACGAACTTAACCACTACGCCAACGGGACTGGCCCCTTAATCATTTTACGTGAACAGTTCAGTGGCATTAAGCACATTCACGTTGTTGTGGAGCCATCCCCACCATCCGTCTCCAGAACTTTTCCATCTTCCCAAACTGAAACTCTGTCCCCGTTAAACACTGACTCCCTCTCTCCCAGCCCCTGGCACCCACGTTCTCCTTTCTGTCTCTATGAATTTGACGACTCTGGGGACCTCATGTGAGTGGAATCACACAGGATTTGTCCTTTTGTGTCTGGCTTATTCCACTCAGCATAATATCCTCAACGTTCATCCATGTGGGAGCACGTGTCAGGATTCCTTTCTTTTTAAGGCTAAATAATATTCCATTGTGTGGATGGACCACATTTTGCATATCCGTTCATCCGTGGATGGATTCCCATCGCTTTTAGTGAACTCCTGACGTCTCTCTGGTCACCGCCCGGTCTCAGGTTTCCGCTTCTGTCTCCCAGCAGTAGCCAGCCCTGGCGGCTGCACTCCCCACCCCATGCCCACACGCCGCTGTGGGCTCTGTGAGCCCTGTGCCAGGTGGGGAAGGGCACTGCCTGTGTAGTGGGAGAGACGCGCAACTGCAGTGTGGAGGGGGTGTCCCTCCATGCTGCCCATTCACACAAAGTGCTTCTGAGCTGTTGCTCGTTAGCACATGGCCACAGTGGAGACCGACTCCTAGAACCTGATGGAGTCACAGCCTCTTAGAGTCGACAGGACTGTGAGGTGTCACGGCTGGCACGCTTTGCCCCGGTGCCCCAGGGGAAGTCACCCTCTCGGTGGGACCACGTCCAGGGACGCCCGCTTTCCTTTGCTGGACACCACAGTGGTTTTGAAGCTGCTTCCTTCTCCCGGAAGCAGCTCTGCTGGCCATGCCCCTGTGGTTCTGCCCTCGGGAGCAGTTCCACCGCATCTGCCCCCGCTGCTGTCTTAAGTCAGACGTCTCCGCCTCTCCCAGCTCCTCTTCTCCACATGACAGCCTTGGCTGCAGTCCTGGGCCTCTTGTGAGGTTTCCATCCCATCCTAGACTCTGCAGGCACAACTTGAGACCTGGATTTATACCGCAGTGGGAAAACTCCAAAAGCCTTGGCTTTGCTCCTGTCAGCCTCACGATAAAGCCGGTCCTGTGTCCTGCCTGCAGTGGGGAGGGCACCGCCTGGGGAGGGCTGGGTGGAGGGGGAGGGCACC